ACTTCCCACCCAGCCGTGTGCCGTCTCAAGTGTCTCCCTCTTGGAATTTCGTGGTTAATATACTTTGCTTGTTTCTCTCTGTCCGCCAACCAACAGCCAAGGAAACCTTGGGGAGGAGACCGGGCCGATGTGGGGAGGGGACTACTGCTGGCCCCCTCCTCCTCCTGCAATCCACACAGCTAGGAGGCCAGGAGAATCATAAGGAAGAAAGCCACCGCCAAGGCTAAAGGCAACTGTTCCCATTTCGGACTGGTTCCGCTGATGCTTTTCTCCAGTTTGGGCATCTCCGGGTTAAAATGATCTGTATTTCGGGGGGGGGGGGGGAGAGGGAGGAGAGAGAGAAGAGGGAGAGAGGATTAAAAAGTGGTAAGAGGGAAAAAACCCAGAGGTGGAAGTGTAAGATGTGCCCTCTTCCCCTGCTCAATCCTGCTCAAAACGCTGTTTCTCAATCGGGTGCCGCAGAGAACGAGCGCCAGTGACGAGGGTCCGCCGGCCCCGAGCGGAAGGGGACAACTCACTACAGGCATCCCAACGCCGCAGGACAATTCAACAAACACAAAAGTGAAATGAATTCCCACGGAACCGTGGCCAAAATAATAATAATAATAGTCGACCCAGAGCTACGAGAGTTGCGATTTCTCAACAAAAACGGGATCCCCGATAATAACTGAACGAAACCGTGGCAGAAAGTCGTGTTTGCTCCGACGCCGGAGGTTTTTAAGAAGAGACTGGACAGCCAGGTGTAGGGTCTCCTGGTTGGACTAGAACAGAGGTCCCCAACTTTTGGGACAACAGGGACCGGTTCGCTGGAAAGAGATTGTTCTGCGGACCGGAGGGTACGTGGTTTCGTGTGCTGCCTTCATCCCACGGATGGGGCTTTGCTTGTTTGTGTGGACCGGTTGCTGGCATGCCGCGGCCCGGGACCAGTCCACGGACCGGGGTTTGGGGACACCCCTGGACTAGAAGACTTTCCAGGTCCCTTCCAACTCTGATATTCCGTTAAAAGAGTGTTGAATTGTTCCGTGGCGGAGGTGGCCGTAGTGATTTGGCCACGGCGAACTGTCCTAGACCCATCCTCAACGGCCTCCAGAATTTGGGAGAATCCTGAGCCTCTTCCAGCAAGAGACCCAATCCACAGGGAGGCAGGATGCTACATTTTGGACGGGGAGGGGGTGTCCCCAGGCCCGCCACCCCACTTTCCCGGGCAAAGGTAGGTGGACACTCACCCAGATCCTCAATCTTCACTTCGGGCCCTATAGTGAACGGCGGAAGAGTTGATATTGCTCTGTCCCCAGAAAACGGCGCTGTGGGCAGGAGAGGGGGGGGAAGGCATTACTTCCAGGGGTGGTGATGGGTTACTAGAGAGGACTGCCCCCCAAAATTTTTGGCAGCCCCTTCCTCCCCCCAGCCCCAGGCCCCGACTACAGGCGTGGTGATTCAGCAACAGGTGACGTAAATTTTGCATCTTGATTTCAATTAGTTGGGGAAGCCAAAATGGAAGGAGGCAAAGATAAAATGACTTGTAATAACGGAAGGGGAGAAATCTCAGCCCTCACGAGGACTAGCAGCTTGGATTGGGAAAGGACCAAAGGACGGCCCGCAATTTCTCAAGGGCGGGTGGGTGGGCGGGCTGAATTCTGTAGAAACAGATATGGAAAAGTCTTTGCACCAGGAGGGGAAAACGGAGGAAGGAAAATGGAGGTCACTCACGGGAACGGCAGCAGACGAAAACCTTCATTCGCAAGCAGGACCGGTGGTGATTATGCATCGGAGTGGCTGGGAAAAATAATAATAATAATAATAAGCAAGGAGAGAATTGGAGGCGGCGTCCTGCCTGTGGGTTGCTGTGATTCCCCGAATTGTCAGCTTATATGACAAGGCGGACTGTCCTCAACTTACAGCTTGTTCATTTGACAGTGCTGGGAAAAAAAGTGCATTTAAAAATAGGTCGTCCTCGGTTTACAACTGTTCCTTCAGTGACTGTTTTGCAAAAAGGGACTTAGGACCGTGTTTTCCACACTTACAACCCTTGCAGCCTCCCCCAGGGTCACGGGATCAAAAGTCGGACCCCGATTCATATTTATGACAGTTGCAGCGTCCCGGGAGGCCACAGGATCCCTTTTTTGAGAGCTTCTGACCAGCCAATGGGGAATCCAGATTCACTTAAAAACTGTGCTTCCTAATTAAACCACGGCAGGGATTGCCCTAACCAAGATGGCAAGGAAAGATTGTAAAACGGGACAAAACTCCCTTAGCAATGGAAATTATTGCCTCAGTTGTGGTGGTAAGTTGAGGATTACCTGTATGCCATTCAAAAATGCAATGTGAGCAGCCTGCCCTACCTCGCAGGGCTGTGGGGATGAGAAACAGAGATACATTTGCCACAGGGTAGAATTTGGCCTCGGCTCTAAAACTGGACCTGCTATTTGCTTTTTTTGGGAAATCCACCCAAACGGCCCAGATTGATCCATCTTCAGGTAGTCCTCGGTTTACGACCATCGTTAGGAGCAAAAATTCTGCTCCTAAGCAAGGCGGCGTTTCCAGTGAATGGTGGACCTGTCTTGCTGCGGTTGTTAAATGAACCAATCAAACTGGACCCTAAAATGTGGGAGCTAAGCCTCTTGGCACCCCTTAAAAAGTCGTCACCCCCCCCCCCCAACTGCAAATGTTTTTGTGAGGAAAAGAAATAAAATTCACTTTATAATAAATTTAAATCGCCAAAACTTGAGGATTGGATAAAGGCCGGCTAGGCCTCAGAAGCCTAAAGATGGCTTGGTCAAGGGCTCCCCCTAGTGGACCAAAACCATATTTTCCTGCTTAGCTGAGCCTTAACTAAACTGCACAAGAATTAAATCCTAGTTTAGTTTTGCATTTTGAGGGAGTGGGTTGTCTGAATTCAGCCTATATGAAGCCCCTTATCCTGAATTAAACCATCATTCTATGGTCAACAAACTGTTATAGACAAGACATTAGCCTGTGGTCCTGGGGGGGGGAAACCCTTTTAATTTGGCGTTCGATTTCTCCCACTGGGGATGCTCAAGACAGACGCATCTCCCAGGACATCGTTACGCCTTAACGGGTGTCTGGAACGACGAGGCCTGAATCTAGGATGTAACGTGGAGTCTTCATGACCGATAAACCCTGATCAACCCATTTTGCACGAATTCGTCAAAGAGGCTGGGCTCGTCGGCTGGAAAGCCGACAGTCCGGGTTCCAGACCCGAGCACCTTGCGACGGGGTGAGCTCCCGTTCCTTGCTCCAGCTCCTGTCCACCTACCAGTTTGAAAGCAGTGCAAATGCGAGTAGATAAATAGGTATCACCTCGGCGGGGAGGAAACAGCGTTCTGTATGCCTTTGGTATATAGTCCTGCTGGCCACGTGACCACGGACATTGTCTATAGCAGAGGTCCACAACCTTTTGGGCGCCAGGGACCGGTTCCGCGAAGAGGTTTTTCCACGGACTGGAGGGTGCGTGGTTTTGTGTGCTGCCTGCATCTCGCGGATGGGGCTTTGCTTATTTGTGCTGGCGTGCCACAGCCCAGTATTGGTCCATGGACCAGGGGTTGGGGACCCCTGGTCTACAGACAATGCTGGCTCCCTTGGCCAAGAAAGGGAGGAGAACACTGCCCCCTAGTGTTGGACATGACTGGACACTCTTTACCTTTTCATAAGGGGAGGTAAATTTCCTTCCGGGCATCAACAACAGGATACTTATAAGTTTTTGGAATGTAACTCAAAGGAAAAACACATCCCACCAATGAACGGTTAGGGCAAAGGAGACCAAGGCTCCCAACTCACAGATGTAGTAGTATTCCTGTCCAGCGTGGAATTCATAACCCAGCGAGAAGGCACTGTAACGCTGAAACTTCTCCGAGAACTTGATGGGGCTGTGTGGGGCGCGAGGCCGGTTGCATTCCCAGCGTTTGGAGCCTAGGCTGATGTTGCACGCCTGGTACCCCTTCAGGTTCACCATGTAGAGGATGTACTGTTCCATGCGCCCCTCGGGCACCGAGATGTTGTAATGGGGGCAGTAGATGTCCAGGTAGTCGTTGACGTTCACCTGGACTGTGTAACCCTCTCGCCGTAAGCTGAAGGAGGAGGAGGAGGAGAAAGTTACCTTGGGAAGACCCAGGTGGAGTTAGGCTGAGGAAGGAGCTTCCTACAAGGAGTTTCTCAACACGGTTATCTGTGCATGTACGGAGTGTGTTTCTCCCCTGCCCCCCCCATCCCGGAAAGATAGATTGCAAGGAGAAATTAAAGAAAAAGGAGAGGGGAGGAGGAAGAAGGGGGGGAAGGACGGAAGGAGTGGGTGAGGAGGGGTGTCATGTGTCTGATTAACGAAACACTTAAAAGGACTTTCAGGCATATTTTTATCCTAAGAGCATTTATTAAGGTTACAGAGACGTCGGTACGGCATGGTGGAAATGCTTAGATCTGAGATTCTTTTCCGTTGCACATACATTCCAGGCATTTTTCCCTCCCCTATTTTGGGGTCATGGTTCACATCTTCCAATTAACTTGGAAGATGATTTACTTCCGGTTTCTTTTTCCCGGGCTTTCCATATTCTCCTCCCCTTTCCCTGTTGCCTGATTTAAACTATAAAAATACCAGACAGTTCTGCCTATTGTCAAAGCAAGAATATACAGCATTTGCAGCGTTGACAAAGGAAGGAAGGGGAAGTAGGCGAGATGGAGAAGGAAAAATGGAAGAAAGGTGTGGATGAGAAGGAGAAGCAGGGGAAGGGAGGGAGGGAGGAAAAACGTGGATAAGGAGGAGTTGGCAAAAAGGAGGAAAGAAAGAGATGCAGAAAGGAAGAAAGGAAGGAAGGAAGGGAGTGGGTGAAAAGGAAGAGGGAAAGGAAGGAAGGAAGAGAGGAAGGTAAACAGAAAGAAAGAAAGAAAGAAAGAAGGAAGGAAGGAAGGAAGGAAGGAAGGAAGGAAGGAAGGAAGGAAGGAAGGAAGGAAAGAAAGAAAGAAAGAAAGAAAGAAAGAAAGAAAGAAAGAAAGAAAGAAAGAAAGAAAGAAAGAAAGAAAGAAAGAAAGAAAGAAAGAAAAGAAAAGAAAAGAAAAGAAAGAAAAGAAAGGGAGGGAGGAATTTATCATTTCCTTATTTATCCTTTCTGGAAGAATCCCGTCTCAGCCAGGCTGACCTACACAACTCTTTGTCCAAGCCTGGTGTATTTATTGGGGAGGGGGGTAGGAAAGAAAAAAACCCTCCACTACTTTATCATCCATTTATCCAAATAGACACCCAACTTCGCTCCGGAATGTCCTTGCTTGAAATGACATCAGCGATTCTCCTCCCGCCAGGGGTCCCTCCAATTCCCCCCCTCTTGGTGATGGACAGCTCCTTAAATTGGACTGGACAGCAGTCTCCAGTCTTCTTGCTCCAAGTAGCCACAAGGTTGGCGAAGCCTTCACCACCCGATGACACCCGGGCCCGGATCCGTCTTCCAGAAGAGCGGGCGAGATTTCTCGCCTGCCCACATTGGTGACCGTGAGGTTTGCCTCGACATATTTACTTTGCTGAATTTGCTTACGGCGCAAACACACGCACACACACACATGTGCAATAAGCACCTACGTGCAATTTCTATCCGTGCCTGCAATTATGTGCAATAAAGGTATATGTGGAATTTAGACTACCGAGGTGTCGTTTTCCATGCTGTTTATTTATTTCAGAATGTTTACTTCCCTGGTTTAAAACTTGGCCACGGGGCACAATTCTTGGGAAGCGCGCACACACACACAAAAAATCCAATTTATTCCTCTCCGCGAGGGGCTTTCAGCATTTCTGCCTGGCCTTGCCTCACACGTGCACCCGACTCCAATCCCTGTGTCTTGAGGACTAGAAACCTAAGGGCCAGCACCAGGTTTGAACAGGCACCATGCTTCAGAAGGACTGTGAGGATGTTCGGCGCTGAACTTTGTTCCTTGTTCAGTGTCACAGGGGTCTCCAACCTCGGCAATTTTAAGACTCGTGGACTCCAACTCCCAGAATTCCTCAGCCATGAGGAATTCTGGGAATTGGAGTCCACAAGTCTTAAACTTAGCTGGCTGAGGAATTCTGGGAATTGGAGTCCACAAGTCTTAAAGTGGGCTGAGGTTGGCGACCCGCCCTGCCTTAAAACACCACAACCCCCCATAAATGCAGCCGAGTGACCGATTTTTGGTCATGTGACCGTCTTGGGAAGGGCCTTGTGACTTTGGATGGTTGCTAAGCAACCCGTCGTAAGTCGAGGACTACCTCAATGGTAGAATTTAAATGAATTGGGCATCCCACCGATCTAAGGGGATTTAATTTTGGTCTCCCCAAAGGGGGTTTCAGCCCATGGTGAAAAGCCTCAAGGCCCTGGACAAGCCCGCTTGGTAAACTATGATTCAACCATGTTCTCTTCTTCCTTCCTTCCTTTCCTCCCTCCCTCCTTCCTCATTGTCAATTCAGGAACAGTTTGTTTTATTTTTCGCCGGATTTTTGGCAGGCGACCCCCCGTTGCTGTTTCAATGTGGCCGTTCCTTCTGTTTACCGCGGTACGTGTTTTCGGATGGAATTTTAAAAGAAAAAGACCCCCCCAAATAATCTTTTTATTGCAAACGCTTCTGCTCTAAAGCTGTTTCGGTACCTAGCGAGGTAAAAGAGAGAAAAAGCAACGCAACAAACAGCCGCACCTTTGTGTACAGGTTTGCAACGGTTCGTTTAGTGAGCGAAGTTACAGCGGCACTGAAAAAAGGGACTTAGGATC